TTCCTGCTTTTTTCATCTTTACTAATTATACACTATTTAGTGGAACTTTAATATTACTATATTATATAATTCTGTCAAAGGAGAAATAGTAAGATAACCCATAATCACACTACCCTAAAATAACCACTCTTAACATTTTAGTATACTTCAGTCTTTTCCCTGCATGTATAATTTTGCAGAGTTGTAACCACACCCAACATATAATTTTCTCATGTTTTTCCATTTACCATTATATTATAAGCATTTTTAATGTTGCCACATAATCTTCATGTCTGTCATTGTTAATAGCTACATAATAGTTCACTGAATTGAAGTGCTTTATTTACTTAACTATCCTATTATCTTTCAACAATTTCCAATTTCTTCTTACAGTAAATATGCACATCTTTGTGATTGTAGTGTTCTTTTTCAAACTTAGAATTCTTTCACATAGGCTTAAAATTGTTTGGCAAGAATACTGTGTATACATTTTTGTCTCTTGACATATATTTCCAAATGGATCTTTTTAAAGGTTGCATCAATTTACACTGCTGCCAGTGTAAATAAGGACCACTGTGTCTTTGTTCTCTTGAGAGTAGAGCTTTGACAGGTGGGGATAGGAGACCAGGAGGAAGACATTTCAACACCAAAGCCTGAGCCTTGCATTCTGTAAAGTACACTGGTCCTCACTGATACACCAGTTTTGTGTTGCTTTGTTTCTCACAGACTGAGCAGTTGATAACTCTGTGGGTCCTCTTTGTTTTCACCATTGTTGGAAATGCCATTGTACTGATCCCTACACTAAGAAGGAAGAGGAAGTCGAGAATGACCTTCTTTGTGACTCAGCTGGCCATCACAGGTACATAACTGCAGTGTGTGCAGAATTCCAATGGCTCCTCACTTTCAATTATTTTACCAATAGAATTGGTGTATTATCAGTCCAAAATGCAACTGCAAATTTGGGAGAAATTTCTATAGGGATATAAAACTCAAATTTGAATTTTTCTTCCAGCAAATTTAACATATTTAAATATTTATAAGATTCCATTATAAAAATAACGCCTTATACAACAAACTTGAAAATATCATTATCAGTGCTACCAAAGCGTTCTGAAGGGTTCTACTTTCCCTATACACAGCAGCCTCTATGGTTCACTAAGGTGATATTACCATATCATACTGTCTTATGAGTTAAAGAATATATCCCAGAAAATAGAGTAAAGGGTAATTAGGATTGTCGAGTAAATGCAAAATTCTTGGATGAGGGTATAATAACTTTCTTTCACCATATTTTTTCAATTACAGTGTTGTAACCCACATTCTACAAAACTATGTGTTCTTCTAGAGTGTAAGAATTTAGAGGTGGTAAGGATATCAGCTTAGAATTTAAAGTACTGTCAAGAATAATAATAAATGAACAATTGAAATTTCACCATCTATTGTCAAAAAGAAGAGCTGCATGTTCTAGTCAAATCCATAGGCTGCTATGTTAACCTGGGCTTAATTTCTCACAAATGTTCTAGACAGTCTAGATAGTCTAGATAAATTAATTTGTTAATTCCCTCTGGAAAAACTCAAGGGGTCAGATAGGAGCATTTCAACTGAAGAATTCTTGGAGAGAGAAAGTTTGCCTAGAGTCTGAGATTAGGCTAACTTCTTATTTAAAGTGTTAAAATTTCTTTCATACACATTTCACCATGATCTCAGATCCTGTAGTAAGGGATTTGAGAACACATATCTGAGTCTTTAGTATGTATAAAAAGGTTACTCTGGTATCAGCTGAAGGATCCTATTCTTTCAGACTTACATAAATTTGAGTCCCCTGTCCTATGCTAATGGCCTCCCCAAGATTTCTTCAAATTTTCTGGACTTTATATTTTTAGTCATCACTTCTGGTTCTTACTTGCTAACTCTGCTGAACTTTTGTTCTCTTTTACAGGCATCTCACCTTCCCTAGTCTTTTTTTTTTTTCTTTTTAAGTCATACTGACCCTAACAGGGCACTCAGCTCCCCTTTCTTTTATATTCTTTAAAATCATCCATAGAAACTTAACTTTCTGTGTTTAAAAGACTTTGTCCAATGTTTCTGGCAACAGAGGGAGATTGCATTATAGCAAAGCAAATATATTAAAATTGAATATTATATATTTTTAAAACTTTCAGCTACAACCAGTTGTGTCTTTGACTCTCCAATGTTGTTTTACAAGATAACCAAATTTTTTCACATAAACATATTCTTGAATCATCAGATTCAACTGACATCATTAGTGACACACATATTTGGAAAATTAAATTCAGAGACATTATTCTTGGCTCTTCTGATAGAGAAAAATAAGCATTAACAGTTATTACTGGGTAAGGCAATATTAATGCCCTTCATTAAATAATATTTTCCATCATGACTCACCTCCTAAGAGCAGCTTCCTACTTACAGGCCGGTATCCTTGAGTGATTCTTTAAGGAACATTTTGATTTCCATTTAGCAGGTGAATCAATTGGAGTTAGATTCATCTGCACATCTATAAAATCCAAATAATGGTGGCTTAAGTTCACAAGGATTTATTTTCATCTATGTGAACAATTCTGGAGGTAGACAGTCCAGGGCTTATATTTTATTTTCTTATCACTGGGGTCTCAGGCTCCTGTATATATATTTTTACTCTATTAAAGGACTTTCATACTCAAGGTCACCTCATGGTATGGATGGCTCTTGGTTCAAGGTGGCTGCTAGAACTCCTGCCATCATCCCCAGATTCTAGTCTAACAGAAAGGACGAGAGGAGGAAGGACAAGAGGGGCTCATACCAGCTATGTGTCCTCTTAACTGGTATTCCTAGAACTCCCACCTATTAATTTTTGCTTGTTATTTGTTATCTCTAACTGAAGAAAAGCTGGTAAATGTTTTTGTTTGTTCATTTTTAACCCATTGGCCAGAATAAAATCAAGCTTCTTTTCCTAAGGAAAAATGAGAGAACAGAGATAAGTAGCAGTCTCTGGCATAGCTTGTCTTCCGTATTTCAGTTTCCATTGAGAACTGAGAAGTTTAGACAATGAATCTCTGTTTGACTACCCATTTGACTGCTTTGAAGGTGCTCCCTCCAGAGTGCCATGCTTTCTTCTTCAGACCTCATGTCTTGGAAGGCCAGCACTTCGCATGTTGTCAAACACTGCAGTGACCCATTGGATGACTGCCCCATTAAGTAGATAAATTCCTATTGTTGACTATTCACATAACCTTCCCCCCCCCCCACCCAGTTTTTGGCTATTATTAGCAATTCTGCAATGAATATTCTCACAATTAAATCTTGTGAGCATTCTTTATTATTTATTTAAGAAAATTTATAGACATGAACTTACTGCATCAAAAGAAGACACTTTTGTGAGCTTCAAACTGGCCAGTGTCCTGTTAGGTCACCCAGGATTAAAAGATGATGAAAAATGTCATGGGACAAATGCTCTAGAAGCTACCAACACAGATCCACACTGAGTCTTGTTTAAAAAGGACCCTGAAAACAAAAGCCCTATTGGCTTGCAGTAGTTATAGAATCATGACCAGTTCCTTGAGGACACGGATTCTCTTTGTTCACCTATAAATGTTCTATCTGTACCTACTCAAGTCTAATTTGCTTATTTTAAAAAGGAGCATTTTTTTCTACCCTAGCTAGTGTATCAGAGAAGAAGCCACACCTAATTTGGCCTTTCTTTCCCCCACAGTAATTATAGCAGCACTCGTATTTGTGAAAACAAAGAACACATCATTTACAAGACATTTGAAGAATTGCTTTTATTTTGCATCTGTATATTTTAATTCACTTCCCTCTTCTCCACATTTCTGATCCCTTCAAAAAATCTTACCTAATTCTTCTCTATATCTTCCATTAGGAATTTTGACTGTAGGTTTAGTCTTGAGAACGGAAGGAAACCAGAAGTTCTTAAAGCTGCTATTTTGGCATATTCTGCCATTTTTAGCACTTCTATTTTAACAATCTATTGGATGAATTTAATGACTGTTTATATTTTATGAGCTAAAGTTGCCAATTAAAATTTATTAGTCATTTATCATCTTCAAGACTGACTTGTCTGTTTTATTCAAATGCCATAAAGAAGGGGAGCTAATGAGAGTAACTCCCATTGAGTGTTCAAGCAAAAGGAAAGACAGAAAATATATTTTTTTTGGCACATATTCAAATAACGTCCTTCTTCTGATAGGACCAAATCTTCTCACATTGGTGGAAATTAGCTTTGCCTCAAAGCACTTTCTGGAGAGCAATTTACTAATAAACGAAGGTATGTGCCACCCTCAAAGCCTTCCTGTTAATTATCTGACAGCAGAGAAAACTGAGAGGTTCAGGCAAGGAGGTGAGACCAGGAAGACTGAGGTATTCAAGGCCATCCATGGAGTTCACTACCACTTCCAGTGCTAATTTCACTCACTTTTTCCCTGGGGTTTTGAGTTGCATACTCAGTTCATTTATTTATTTTAATTCTGCTCATTCGTTTTGTAAATATTTTTTCAGCTTTATTGAGATAAAGTTGACATAGACTATGTATAAGCTTAATATGTACAAAGTAATGATATGCTGTATGTACCTATTGCAGTAAGTTCAGTTAGCATCCATCACCTCACATAGTTACAATCTGTGTTTGGCGGGGGAGGGGAGTATGTTAAGAACTTTTAAAATCTACTCTCTAAGCAACTTTCAAATATACAATATACAGTATTGCTAATGACGGTCACCATGTTGTACATTACATCCCCAGAACTTATTCTTCTCATAACCAGAAATTTGTTCCCTTCGATCATCTTCACCCATTTCCCCCAATCCCCACCTCTGGTAACCACCAATCTGTCCTCTGTTTCTATGAGTTCTTTTTTTTTTTTTTTTTTTTTTTAAGTGAGATATTACAATATTTGTCTTTCTTTGTCTGATTTCACTTTGCATAATGCCCTCAAAGTCCATCCATGTTGTCACAAATGGCAGGATATTTTTGTCTTTATAGCTGAATACTATTCCATTGTGTGTGTGTGTGTGTGTGTGTGTGTGTGTGTGTGTGTGCGTGTGAATCTCATATTTT